GTGCTATCAGCTTGCATTTAGCTGACGGACTGAAACTATAGAGACAGTCGTTTTGTTTACCTTAAGAGAAGTGATTATCAATGTGATGAGTGTGATTATTTTATTCGAGGCAGCTCGAACTTGACTGGAAAAACATATATCTCCCCCGGAGATATATGTGGGGAGTGTGTCGAGAATATGATTACGTAATAAGGGTGTGACGCTGTTAATATTTACTTAAAACTGACAAGAGACAAAAGAAGAGATCTTTTTTTGTACACGTGGGATCGAGTTGAACGAGCGAGTAATGAAAAGTGTATATCGAGAGTGATTAGCGTTGAGCTTGATGTAAGCCTGTATTGAGAAATTAATCAGAGCATTAAAGCAATTCACAACAGTTTGATTCAGACGACGTCCTTTCTGCCGTGCTTTTGTCGAACTTAATTCCTGAATTTAGGTCGGCGCGGCAGGAGCACGACGTCTGAACTGGGCCTTAGGGAAAAACTTGATCTGTAAATAGATGTAAAACTCGTTTGAGTTTACAAACCTAACCTTGGAGAATGCTAGGCAGGCATTCCTGGCTTGACAAACTGAATCTACCGACTATTACTTAGCACTTCCACACGAATACTGTAAAACAAAGAACAGAGGATTCCAATGAAGAACCTGAAACATCTTTAAGCTCAAACAGCCCGAAACTACAACTGGAACTCTGAAGTTCACGCCAAGAATTTCCATGCATGCCTACCGTAGGAACTAACCCGTGATCACACACAAATTTGGTAAACAAGTTAACCAACATAACTTCACTGAATGGAATCAACAAACTCCCGCCATTTAGTGCGGGCTAATCTAAACGTAGGGCAGCCTTGACGGTCATAAACAATCGCTTAACGATATAAGATTACTGATTTGACTCTCAAAGTCACTAAGTAATATAACACTCAGCTTCACAATTAACAAACGTAATTACTTCAGTTAAAAAGTACGGCATTACATAGTTAGTTTAGCCATTTCATACGCTAAGTACTCATTTCATAGACAGTTTAGCCATTTGAGAGGTTAGGTGGACCAATTCCATTTTCTGCCAAGCCATCAGCGCATTTCGTAAATTCATCTGAGCTGTGGGGTCAAACCAGGGAAACGTGAAATCGTTTGCATTAAAGTTGGGACTCGAAAATGGATATGGCGTGGTTACTTCGTTGAACACAAATATTGATGCCCATCTGGGTACAGTTCTGTTTACCCTTTGGCCATTTTCCCAGCTTACGACGCGGTAATTACTGCCGTTCCTGTAAATGTATCCAAAGCGAAATGTTCCCGTCGCGTCCAAATAACATCCAAATGTTTTCGAAGGTATATTTCCTCGGAAAAAAAGCTGTATTCTGTGTCCAATGTCTTGAACACAAGGTGGTATCACGTAGTAAGACATCACATTTCAGGCTTCTGTTGGTCTGGACAAACAGGTTGATGGCGAATTCAATGTGCACAACAGTTAATGTTGGCGCTGAACTTTTAACGACTCTCTCTGAAAGCGCAGTTTTCCATTCCATTCAATTGAATTCCTTGTTAAGTTCTGTGATTGGCTGAAATATATCACACCACGCATGAAGAGATTTTCTAAGAAAAACAGGGGGCGCTTTCCATTCGACCAAAAATTCCGAGATTTCCGGTCCGAAATTGAATGGAACGGTAAAATTTCCGGGAAAAGTTTTCGAAAATTTAGGAATACGTT